ATTTTGATGGTCTTTGATGCAATCTGGCCGTTCTTTAAAGAACCGTATCAAGAAATGGTTCCTTAAAGAACCTATTTTTGCTAAAGTACTTTGGGGGCAGAAGGAAACTGTTTTATGCTCCTTTGAGGCACCTTTGGGAGTTCTGAGGAAATGTTTCATTAATGAACCTGTGCATGTTGGTTCCCTGACGAATGGTTCTTTAGAGATCCTTAGCTGTGGCGTCGCTGTGAGGAACCGGTTCTAACTCCAGCGAGCGCCTTTATTTCTGAGGGTACAAGTTGTTTTCTTGTGGTTCCAGATACGATCTCGCTCTCATAAGTTCTGCTGTCGATGCGACTTCTTATCTCGTTTCATCATCTTGTTACACAAACAGTCGAGTTCAGCACAAATGGTTCTGGTTCCGTCTGTTTGCAGAACTTATCATCTTGTTTGTACAAGACTTCACAGATCTGTGTTTCAGGGTTTCTCTCTCTAACTCAGAGCAGCCGTGGAACGTGAACCTCGGTCTGGTTCGGGCCGTCTCAGAACCGGTCAGGATCAGTGACCAGCTGTTTGTGTTCCACCTGCTTCCTTTGTGTTCTTGACTCTGTTTCAGTTTGTCAGAACCTTAACAGACTCACTGGGTCTGCTGTTCCACACACAGAAAACCCAACTCGCTAGAATTCGCGCGGTGAAGAGCGGAGGAGCTAACGCTTATTTGCAGTACAAACGCAGCCGGCTGCTGATTGGCCCAGACCAGGAGGTAACCGTGGCAATGCGGCCGTCGCCGGGTGGTGCCGACGTTCCTCTCCTTTGGGTTCTCCGTGTGTTGGTTCTCCTCGCTGAGCTGAGGCCGAACTCGCCGCCGGCTGCTGCATGCGGGGGATTGGCTGTTCACCTCCTCATCACATTCCTGTCCGTCTGTGTTTGTGTGTCTGGTTCTGCAGTAACGTGGTTCCATGGACCCGCTTGGTTCCGACGTTAAACAACTGGGTTTCTTCTTTTGGTTTCACCTTCATCCCAGATTCTTCTGCAGGGAGATGTTCTTACCTCCAGACCCGCGACTAACGGAACGTTAACCCAAACACTTCATTTCAACTCAGATGATGTTCTCTGAAAACAAAGGCAGAACGTTCTCAAACCAACGTTCGTTCAACAGAGACACTGTTCCAGATGGTCCGGAGGCCTCAGATGAGTTTGACAAAGCGTTCCTGGTGGAACATTCTGTTCTGAAGACGTTTTGAGAGGGTTCTTGAGGAGCACACAGTAGAACATTGTTCTATAAAACAGTCCCAGAACGTTCTTTGATATCAAAGGATGAACGTTCTCACACTAACATTCCAAAATGTTCTTTAGATGTTCTATAGGCCTCAGATGACAGAATGTTTTTTATATTTGTGATGAATTAAAGGTGGAACATTTGGTCTCTTTGTTGAGGAAACATAAGAGAACGTTCTTCTATCGAAGGAAGGACGTTCTCAGTGGAACATTGACGATGTTGTGAAGATCTCGGACGATAGAACGTTCTCTGTAAAACGTTCCTGTAATGCGATATATTCACAAAGGTGGAGCATTCTGTCTGCAGTGTTGTGAAGATGTTCTATGGATGTTGTGGAGGAAACACATTACAGAACTCATATAACGTTGGCGTTTCTTGTGTTTCCTCAACAATGTCTTCGAAATGTTCTGTATAGAAAACATTTACCCATCTCAGGTCTTTAAAATATCTCTGAGAATGTTGTTCTTTATAATAACGGAATGTTGTGAGAAAGTTCTACAAAAGAACGTTCTGTAATGTGTTCCCTCGACGATATCCCCAGAATGTCTTCAGAACAGTACAGGCAGAATGTTCCACCTTCATTTATAAATCACATTACAAGCTCCTTTTACAAAAATCATACATTTACATTTGGAAAGCGTATTTTAAAAGTTGCTCCGGGAACGTTCTTTCTTTGTTACCATAGAACATAATGTATGTTCCTGAAAATGGTCCAACCAAATGTTAGGGATAAAAGTCTTAACCTCATTGCAACATTCTTGATAATGGTAAATATCCTCAGAACATTCTTTGAACATTAGTTCCAAACCTTAGATTACTGTTAGAACCTGTAGGGAACGTTAGCAAAGGGAGCGTTCTGGTTGGGATCCTCAGGTTCTCTCAGGTTCTAAGTTCTTTTTTAACATGTGATCCTTTGTTTGAACTGAAGAACCCTCTGGGGTGAAGGTGAAGCTCTAAGGATCATCCTGACCCGGATGACTGAGAACCTGCAGACGTTCTGTGTTTGTTTTACTCGTGAACCTCAGCAGTCGGAGCTGAAGGTTCTGTTGGTTCCGGCTGCCGGATCACTGCTGATGGAGCTGCTGCAGCTTTAATGCATGACGGCGAAGTGATGCTCAGAAACACCGACTGCTTCGACCCTCTGAACCCCGAAAGACGAGACTTCTCCTG